GAATCGTTTTTCAGTTTACCGCAAATTTTACGAATGGTTTCAAGGAACTTTTAGGTCCATAGAGTATTCATTACTTAGCTTGGCTATTATAACTAGATTGCCAATTTCTTGGTAATTCACACCACGTCAAAGTTAGTTTTACAAGCGTCAACATCACTGTTCATTTTAAAACAAAATGCGTTTTAGCACTACTTGGTATTAACACTGTGACTTTGTGTATGAAGGCACATCATCTTTAAATGTCATCCTACACGCGTGTGGAATAGATTGCTATCTCACTTGCATGTCACGACCAATTATCTAGGACTCAGCTGACACAAGATCGCAGATATGTTGTCCATTTAAGCAGAAGCCTGCCCTATTTCGCAAACGTTTGCACAGCCAAACATTACGCCATATAACCGATAATTGGCATAAAAACTAGTCCACATTTACACTTTGCCATTTTGACAATATTATTATAACATTATTTAGAATAGACGTTTACTTTCTCTAAAGCAAGAATGGTGTGTGTTGGTAAACAGAAATTGAGAAAATAAGTGTAGACTGTTCCCTTTAAATTATTAACTTTTTTCTTTCCTGAAACATAAATTTAAAGTAAGTGTTTATTTTTAGGGGCTGTGCGGCCCTTAGTCAACCCTAAAAATACAGAAAATTTATTTGACTTAACTTGCAAACGCTTGTTCTTCAAATTTAAAATGCTTATTTTAGAATTCAAAAGCGTGTGTTCGGTTTAATAAAAATAATTAATGGGTAGTTTTTTACATGCCATTTACGTGGTGTTTTACTTCACATTTATGAATGTGCAACCTCGTTCACACATGACTGATTCAAGCGTCATCACATTTGGCAACCTTGTATTTTTAAGCGTTTTCTACAATCTCAACACTTTTACCGCATAAATTTAAGTAATTAAACTCTGATTATGGAATATCTTGATATAAATCTACCTGCCTATTAAATAAGAACTATTTTTGTACTTAAAATATCAGATTTCCCGCGCTTTTGTAAATTTTATATTGCAACTTTAGGCATAACATTGGCAGAATTTATCCAATTGATATGTTTCATGCACAGCTACGGCGACGTTGTGTCGGACAAGAATAATTCTAATTATTTAAAGTTCAGCTATTGAAAAATTTGCGACCCTTTTGCTTTTGCATTTGTGAACCTATAACGTACTACTCAAAACTACACTTCATTTGTTCTCCGCAATTTTAACTGAAGTGAAAAAAAGGTTTACGGATAGTAAAATTACGAAATATATAATTTGGTTAGACTGACAACGGCAGAGTTTCTCGTGACAATTGGTGCTTTATTCGCGTAGAGCATACACATTAACTAACCTAAAGCAAATGTGACTTTACTTTTGCCACACATAAGATCGGTGCTTTTTTGGAAAAGAACGTTGTACTACGATTTTTTCCTTTTTAAAAAATGGTAACCCTTTGAACATAATAATTTGTACAGTGTGCAGTGATATAAACATTGACATTATATAATAATGTTTTGACAAAAAAAAAGTTAAACTGGTTAATGTGAAATATTAAAACAATTGTTTTGGGTATTCAGAGGAAATGCAGTTTCGGTCGTGATTGCCAAATAAAAAGTAGCTATTTATGAAATCCTAAACAACAGGTAGTTAACGAAATGCTGCTACTGTATTCGTGAGATTTAAATCCTAATTCTTGCTCTACTGGCAAATTAGGCTTCGTTCCTCCAAAATTATCTGCAACAGTTTTTAGGATTGTTTACCTCGAAAAATTCACTGCTCCTAATTTATTATGTTTAACATCGCAGTTTGTGTTGATTTTGTAGGATAAACTGCTTGCTGGGTGGATTTTTAATAGTGCTTTTTAATACCTGCATGTTGAAACCGTCATTTGCACGACACCGCCACTAAGCCGCAAGCAAACAAAGTAACAACGTTCCTCCCATTTTGCCAAAGTCGCTTGTTTTCGTATTCAGTGTAATTGGTTTTGGACAGTCAAAGGGAATATTTTTTCGCCTAGTGTCGAAAAATGTACCAGAGACGGGGCACTAAAAGTGACTTATTTCTGACCGACCTCTAAATTTGTCATCATAATTACGGTGTTGGACTTGTGATAACAATGATGTTAAAACTATGCATTCGGGAATTTCTCAAGCTCAAGAGAATATTGAAATTACTACAGGTAATGATAAAAAAAACTAGTTCTGTTTTTATTGCTTCGAGTAGGGTGTAGTTAAAACATTTCACAAAGAGAATTATATACTGGAAAGGACAGAAAACTACGTTGTACCGAGGAACAAGCTTAACTACTTGAATCTGTCCGTGAATTCCGCTGTTGCTGACAATAAAATAGGCTGCTTGCATAAACAGAGCACCACCGAGGAAACTGCATTTATCAAAATTAAAAAAAATTGGGGTTTTCCTTATAAAATGGTAAAAATGGCCTAACAATACTACCGAAAAATTTTAGGATTTCAAGAATTCTGCGTTTTTATATAATTGAAATAGTGTGCATGTGTTAGAGTTTTCGGGGCTGACAATAATCAATTCAAATAGACCAGGTTGTTCCGTCACAGAGTGCGCCAGCTTTTGACAGCTGCATAGATGCTATCCAAGGGAATGCAGAAATTGCAAAGTCCTTTTTTTTTCTACACAGAAAATTCGATCTGCAATTTTTAAAGTTTTTCCGGAATTGAGGATGGCTGGATATTGGGTACCAGTACATTTCATTGATGTGATCTCATTTAATTGAAGTTAAAACGCAGCGAAAATGTAAGTGCCAAAATGATTTTTATGCTAAAAATGTGCGTCGCTACATGCTGTCGTAGTGAGCATTTAAGTGCGAACGCCGCTTATTTTAGCTAATATGGCTTTATTGATTTAATGAGTCAACGACTGATCTGCTCCACGACAGCATGTCCTGCTTTCAGTCAAAATCAGCTGTGTTAACTTTAGTTGTAGCCTAGGCTGTCTTGAAACACCACAGGTTTCCAAATAGGACTTGTTGAAGGCGATGCAGTACTTACATTTGTGTAATTACAATGCATTAAAATGCTCCGCTTCTTGCGTACTTTGAAGCGAGATTAGTGCCTGTCATGACGGTTTGCCCGTGCAAATTGTCAAACCTTACGGCAATTAAGTGAGAAGAGATTGAGCGAGTTACAAGCAATCCAACCTTGTGTGCAATGGTGATGCAGGACGTGTACTTTACGTGGACTCAAAGGACACTCAACAAGGTATGCAAGCAAAAGCACTTTATACTACAATGAACCAAATATCAGAAATTTTACTGAAACCGAAATAAAATGCATTAGCGTATGCTACTTTAGATAGAATTTATGACGTAACACGCTGCTATACAAACGAGGGCTTGAATTGGTGCCCTTTAGAGGTACGTAATCCAGTGATTTTATAATTTAAAAAAATGATTTTGCTAGGCGTCGTAGTTAGCTAATACGCATTGGATTAGAATATGTTGTTATGTATTTACCAAAGGTACCTTCGTAATGCAAGAGTCTAATAATTTTAATGTGTTTTAAAGCTAAATTTGCGTGACTTTGGATGGCCAAAAACAAATTTAGGCACATTGAGCAATTTAAGATAATTCTGTGCGTTTAATAAATCTTCGAATGTCATAAAGGTTTTTTAGTTATTGAATATTGAGTTAAAAAAGCATTAATTGCAATGTAGAGGTATTTAAATGCATGCATAGCTGCCGAATTAGTGCGCGCTGAAGGTACAGAAAAAGAAAAAGTTAACTAATTTCCTTTAAATTTCTCTAAAAATATTTGGAAGAATTGGGTAAATAGCAAAACTGCAACATATTGAAATACAGAGAAACGAAATGTGTAAATTACATCGTTGGTCAAAAGTGAACAGAGCGTGATTTATGCTTACATATGTACTTCTATTCGTGGGGCAATTAAAGCGGGGTGGTATTCTTACTTTTTTCAAACTAATTAATCCAAACGCAAAACAGAATGCACATAAATTTTGCTCCTATACTTCGTGTAAGGTGCCATGCTTTGCAATTTGTAATCACTCGATTAATTTATTCCGCCTTAAAATTAAGATTAATCCTTCCTGAAAAGATTTTGAAAAAATTAACTATTTGCAACTTGGTTCATTTTGTAGTATTTTATCGTTTCTGTGTTAGAAAGATTATGAACAAACTGAAGGATGTTTGGCGGACCCAGCTAATTCTACGAAACTCGGAATACACTTTTGGTTGCTTTTACAAAGGGTTCTTAGACTCTTAATTACCGTGCGATTTAAGCAATAAGTGAAGGTTTGCATAGGTCCCACTTTGAGACGACAAGGTCAAGCTCAAAATGTCAAAATTACAAAACAGCTATATTAATGAATACCTTGTTTTCGCGTGTGCATTTTGACAGCACAAGCTGCCCCAGATCTGAGTGTTTACTAGATTTTATTAATTAGTTGGTATCTATGCCTTGCAATAACCTTCAGTATTTTTTGGTGACGAAAAGATAATTTCTTTTCTTAGTTTTATTATAATTTCCTCAACCACTAATTTCCGAAGACGCACTCGCAAGACCACTACCGGAAATTGGATGAAAATTCAGTAAACTTTTCACTCTTACGTTCTAACTTCAGCATTTATTTCAAGTGAACTAGAAACGTGACGTTCTTTCGGGGTTGCCGGGATGAGATCGAGAGGCCAAGCTCTTTCTTCGTCTAGTGGTCACGTGCTCCTCTTAAGAGTAAAGGCGCATTTTCTGCCGGAAAACCACATACAGATTTTGGTTTTACCAAATTCGCTTCACTTCGTACGATTGTGCGGGTGTGTGTGTACGCTTACAGAAAGGTGTGATTGGCCAGTTGGCCGTGGGAAAAGGATGTTTCGCTACCAATCATCACTGTCGGCCAGCAGCACGTCCGACTACTGTTATTGCAGTGTGCATTCAGACTGATGACCACAGAGCATTGCCCCAAGGACCCGAGCCATTATGCCCCCGCGTTCGGCGCCCACCCCAGGTAATCGATAATGGCTACTCAACTCAATGACCCCTCCATCACATTTAAGGCCTGGGGATGGAGTGAAAACTGCACCCTTCTTCTTGATCAACTCGTCAATAGGACAATCTCTGAGGCTTTTTTCCTTGAGGCGTGTAAACCTCATGCAGACATCGACGCTGGAACAGTTGTCCTCGCAATCCTCCTTACACTTCTCCTTCTAGGAACGGCGGGAGGAAATATTTTGGTCATTATAGCTATCTTGATTGTGAAAAAACTCCGGTCACCCACAAACCTGCTCATTGTCAACCTCGCAGTGACGGACTTTCTTGTCAGCATACTAGTCTTGCCGTTCGCAATCGCCTACCAAATTTTAGGCTACTGGCCATTTAATCAGATCATCTGTAATCTCTACAATATCTCAGATGTCCTTCTATGCACCCTATCGATTCTGAGCCTTTGCACAATTTCCATTGACCGTTATCTTGCCATTACGAAACCTCTTCAATACGCTGCTAAGAGGACGCCTAAACGGATGCTGCTAATGATTTGTATCTCGTGGTTACTATCCGCCGCAATTAGCATTCCACCCGTATTTGGATGGGAGCAAAAAAATAGTCCATTCTATTGCGGCTACAGTGAAGAATTAACCTACCAAATCTATGCAACAATGACGGCTTTTTATATTCCCCTTACAGTCATGGTTATCCTCTATGGAAAGATTTTGGTACTTGCCAAGCAAATGGCCCTTACGAATGCACAGGTCGCTCGCGAAAGCAGCACTGAGATGCAGGCAAGAACATCATCGATTCCTGCGTACGCTGACTGGAACAGGAATTCTCTCTATCCCACTAGAGAAAGCTACACATCTCAAAAGGTGTACACTGAGGCAAATGATAACTGGCAACAGATACTGGAGCCTAATAATACTGATTTCAAATCCCGACAAAGCGTTGTCAGTTTTAAGTCCCCTCCTGCGATAAGGCCACCGGGAAGATGCCAAGATGTGCGAGGAAAATTTTGCTGTCTGTTTGCGTCGTCTCATAGAGCCTCGACGGAAATTACCAATAACGGCAAGTCTTTAGAACAGACGGCCAGCCTTAGCGGTCCTACCAGACCCCCATTATCTTTGCTCCGCAGAAAGAGGAGACGCTCGCCCTCCGACCAAGGCAAGGGGGAAACGCATAAAGCAGTCACCACACTCGGAGTTATCATGGGATGCTTTACCGTCTGCTGGTTACCGTTTTTTGTGTCACAGGTAAAGATTTGATTGTTTTTTGCCACACACTTGTTTAGGTGTGCTGAAAGTTGGTGAATACTTGCTTTAAAATGATGGTTTCCTACTAGGTTTCGAAAATTATTTGCTAACCCCCTATTTTTACAATAATCAAAAATAACTTTATTAGGCATTTGCAGGTCACAAAGGCAATGTTAAAGTGGTGATAATTTTAGAAAATGCCCAGTAACTCAGTCATTTTTTGATTGGATTAAAGTCTAAGAAAGGAAAGTTCCCAGAGGCGTGCACACGTGCCTGATCGGTATATGCCAGAGCACGCAGAAAACAAAGCTATTCCTGTTCGGCAGTTTCCCACACAAGACCAAAAACAATGACAGATACTGGTGTAGAAGGTTCTTTAGCTAACTTACTTCGATTTTTACTTGGTCAAGATATTGCGAAAATGTGGCACCCATAATACATGTTCTTGAAAACAGCTCTTTTAGTCGTGATCCTTTGTATGCCTACCATTTAACTGCGGAACATGCGGTGTTGTTCAACAGCATTTCGTTTATTTTAACAATTCAGGCAACATTTGCTAAGCATTACGTTGCCGTATCCATCATCTCGCAAATTCGTGAATCGCTTTCAAAATGATGTAGTTGTAAGATGTACTTTACTGGAATTATTTCGCAGTAAAATTTTGTAAAGATTTCGAAATTATAACTTAAAATAGCTTTTATTTAAAAGAAATAACTCTGTGGAGGTTAAAGTATTCGTCCAAGATAAAAAACACCTTAACTTTAGTGAAAAGGCAAACTGCTGATGCTAAGTTCCATTTTAAATTATGGTCACTTTTTTCTTTGGTGTCTAAGTGATTGTAATAAGTAGTTTGAAATTTTCTTCTACTTGTACTGATTTCCTCTCTTAGAGGCATGAGTGAATTTTTATTTTCAAATTCGATGTAAGTTGGTGGGGAACAAATGACTAAATTTAACCTCATTTGCCTTAGTCTTCAGCTATCTACAGTGATCTACACGTGAATGTCGGAGCCTAAGAAAAACTTGTGTTTGAGTTGATACCAGTTGTCTAGTATTTCACATTGCACAACCCATACTTTCAGGTACGCGTCCTTAGCACACAATGCTGTTTCGCTTTATATCTTTCACAGTGGCCTCACCAAATTTGTGGTTCTGTCATATTTTAGGTTAAAAGCACGTAAACTACAACATTTAGATTTAGAGATGGAAAAATGCCAATGTAACAGACGGATCTCTTAAAACCTTTCACTTTAAATTAATTTAAGTGCTGTTTCCTATAACTTCAAGCTGGATCATAATTTTCTTGCCAATTAGTAATAAAACAGGCGAAACTGATAGCATAAGATTGCTACCTAGACTGGGTTAATGGCCGCATGAATAGATGCTTAACAAGTCGAAATACTTGGTGTAATGTTAACAATGTCAAAATCGGGTAGTAAGTCTACTCGGTGAACAGAACTATATCCAAAGGAAGAATGTCTAAAAATGTTTACAAAAAAGCATTTTACTCATCAATATTAGACGCTGAGCGACGTGACCGCAAACCAAATTTCCCCGTTACCGTTCGCAGATGAAGTTTTAAAATATTGAAACTCCACGCAATAGATATATTTTTGATAAGAGGTGGTTCACTAAAGAGCTCGCTGGGTGCAAGAAAACGCGTTTTCCGAGTCTTGGCAGCATCTAGTTCATTCGACTTGTTGCAAGGAAATGAGAGTGTGAAGGAAGCATGTCGAGGGCTTGGCGTCCCGTGTGGCCACCTGTCCCTGGGAAATCGGTTTCGACAAGAAAGAGTTTTAAGCAAACTTTCAGAAAAAACTTGTCTTTTTTACTTTGGACTTTTTATAATTAGAAGAGAAATTTAGACGGATTAAGTCAAGAGTTCTTTAGATCAAGGAATTAGGTTGTCTTTCATGAAGCCAAAATGTGGTCGATAGTGGAAATATTCTGTGGTATTGCAGTAAAAAATGCAAAACAAACGTGACTGCTGACAATGTTTTTCATACTATTTTAGTCATTATAAAAGATTATGACAACCTGACACTTGCAAAATCATCGCTTGTCTTGCATGGTCCCGATTTGGAAAATTCTAGTACAAAAATTGGTTTAAATGAAGTTTTTCTAAACACATAGGATACACCACAAGAAATACCTTTTGCTTCGCGTTCACATTGTGCATGGACTTCTGTGTGTGTGAAAGCCACTTTTTTTAAATCGATACGATCTTCCTGATCGCTGCGCCAATCACATCGGCTGCTCTCATGGTGGAGGAATTTATAAGACGCTCTCAGGCCTGTGGATCTTAAAGGCCTCGTTGCGACTTCGAGCAGAGAAATGCGTTTCTCTATATTGATAGCTCTCTGGCTAGTACTGATTAGCTGCATAGCGACTTCAGTGGCGTATAGAAAGAAGAGTCATAGAAATGCAGGAGGCCACATCACAAAGCGAGGCTACGAAACAAGCGTCGAAATAACGCCTGGCAGTGTTACTTTACCGAATAGGCATAAAGAGTATGATACAGAAACCAAGATATCCCTACCAGGAAACTACCAACCCCAACTCTGCTGTTGCTGCAATTGTGACTACAGAACATGGCAGAGTATGAACAGGAAATTTAAAAAGAGAAGGAGGAGATGAACTATCGTGGATTCAATCATCATGGAGGAAAAATAATCTACCAACCTCTCTGACAATTGTTATTTGAAATCGCCTTACAGTATCTTATCAGTCATATTTTCCACTTACACGTAAAACGTTCTTGCTTAATTTAATACAAATTTAATTCTTACAACCTGTTTTTCACTTACATTGAATAACATAATTACCTCTCATCTTCAACACTTCCCTTCCTAGAATTAATGATGTCAATTTTACATAATATAAAGTGAGCGGCCACTATGAATGAAACTCCTCATTTTAGCAAATACCTTAAAAGCAGTTAGATTTAAAAGAAATTTGCATTAAGTATTTATGTGTGTTTTGTCTAGACTCGTTTAGAATGCTGCAAGAATTCAAAAAAACTTATACTTGAGTACCATCTGTAAAAATGAGATTTCTAAGGCTTTCATTGCCTTTGTATTTATACGTTAACCCTAGAGACAAAACATTTTGCCTCTCTTTTCAGAATATAATATGTTCCAGTTACCTTTATGCGAGAACAGTAATTCAATGTCATAAGAACCCCAAACTTCTACATAAATTTCTAGAACTGAAGTGATATGCGATTTTTTTAAAATAACAGATACTATCACAACTGCGCTACATTGTCTTTTCAAACTTTATTTTTTAACTGAAAGTGACAAATTATCGTCCTATTTTTATGCAAAATATTTGCGACAACATCTGTACCATACAAGTATAGTGTGTGGCACAAAGGATGTCAACAAAAATAAAGTACGTTACAAATCACAATGCTTTGGCAATCACGAAAAACATATTCCTGAGCAAAGAGAATCGCAACAGTTTGTTCGCACTGCATTCAGGCATGGACAACATCTATGGTATAAAGCCCTCCCTAGGGTGGGAGTAAAATTCGTTTTTCTAAATTTTAGGTTTGTATGAGTTTCTATTTAGCAACTTGTTTAACATAAGTGAGGATGAAACCTTATTTAAAGAAACTAAGCATTTGTTTCTAACCTAAGAAGCAATATGAATATAAGGCCTCGTTAACCATCTCTTTTCGCTTTAGTCAAAGATTGAAGATATCCTAGGCACACCTACCAAAACGTTCCGGAGTTATCTAAATTACACCTACATAACGTGCGTAATGGGGCTGCCAGAATTTGGTTTTAAATTTCAACAATACCTTCAAGTAAAAAAAAGAATAAAATGGTAAAGTCGAGAGGTGCAAAAGTTATTTAAAATGTGTTACATCAAGAATGTTTTATTCATGCGTCAAGTACCTATAGGATATTGTTTTTTTTCGTTTTAATTGAATGCCTCAGATATTCCCCTTAATTTCCTGAAATCATTTTCTGAATTGCCTATTTTGCTGCAATGTTTTTTAATACATATCAGTCGAGTGTTCTTACATTTGTTTATACTTAATTGAAGTCACCTTGAAAGAATTTCAAGCCAAAAAATTCCTTAAGGCGGTCAATCTTTATTCAAGACTTAAAACTTGCGCCTCTTGGCGGCTTTTTTGTTATACGTATAATCCTATAAATGATGCAGCGGATTATAACAGGAGGAATGCAACCCCTGCTAATTCCCAATAAACTACTTTCATAGCATGTTGGCTATCGTAGCCGTTTCCTGCGCAATGCGTTCTTAGTGCCACATCGATCCAATTGCTTGTTAGCAACTTGCATTACAGGACTGAGGAGAAAAGCCAATTCATCTTAAAACGAGTTTGGTGCCAAAAATCGATTTATCTAGGGACCGTTACAAGTCCACTTATTTTATTATTATTCATTATTACTATTAAACTCGACTACATTTTTGAGGCCCTTTTTAGGCTCTAGCAAAAAAGATAAACTTTACTTTTTATAATTAATTTAACAATTTTTCTTTCAAGTGGAAACACTTGGGCTGGGGTAAAGTATAATTGCAGAAAACCAGGAACCAGTCTAGATCCCTACAGTCAGGAACAACAAGTTCGATGTTTAGTAAAACAACCCTCACATCGAAGTAAAATCGCACGCTGCCATCGCCAGAAGGATGTAATTGTCACGTCTTTGCCGCAAACATTTCCTGCTATTTATAAATTTAATTTAAGGATCACGCAACGCACACATTTCATACACTTTTAAGCATTTGGCGATAATCATTTGCTGGTCCCACAGATCCAGTGGTTACAGGCTTACTTCGGTATTTCGTAGTGTGGTAGTTAGCAGTAAGATTTTTTAAGGCTGTTAACGAATGAAAACTTCTGAAGTTGGATGGCATTTATTGTCACTTGTGAACAATGCTTCCAGTTCAAGACTCCTCCTAGCAGAAGTGATTGCTTTATAAGCTGACTTTTATTTTGTATGAATACTCATTTGACAAATACAAGAATGGAGGCTTAAAGTGGAGCCACATTTCAAGTGCATTTTCTAAAGTAAATTTATTTCGGTTTGACAGACTTTTAGTTGCAATAATATTTAAAACATTTATTCGGTAATCAGACAGAAATGTTTTTATAACCAGTCTGTTTCTCCTACCTTCTTGCTTCTCGTTCCAATCAGGAAAATCTTTCTGCTTCATATGATACTTCTGGATTCGGCACTTCTAGTTAAATTCTTTTTTTAAGAAGAAAGCAAAGTATACGCCTGCGCTAAAATGCAACCTTTTTCTACCTACTATTTTTACGCCTTTCTTGCAGGGCAGAAATTCTGTTGACTTGCAAATCAGACACAGGTCTGCGTAAATATTGTGATAATTTCGTGCCTTGAATTGATAAAACGGCTTTGCTCTGATTGCTCTGAGGCTGTAGACGTTTTCAAGTCGTATTCTTACGCAGTAAATGGTTCGACTGTGGCTTGGTACCCTTACTAGACAAGTCGCCACCTAATTCCAACTAGAGCCGGGTCTACATCCTGAAATGACATGGCACCAAAGCACACAGCAAGAGACGCTTCGAACTGCGGAGGTTATATACTGTTATCGGTCATTTTAAGGTACATGCATGCAAGATTGAACAATGGATAAAAAATACCGCATACAGTTCCACACTTTACTTAGAACTGAAAACGGTTTACATCTTTTAGGCAAGACTAATAATATATTATTAACGCTTTTGTATTATCGCATTCAAGTGCAACCAAAAAATTACGGCTTTTGTTGTCATTTGTTCTATAAATTGCTGAGTTTCGTGGATATGTAAAATAGATGTTAAGATTACAAGAGAACGCATGCACCAAAATCACTGGGATGCATATTTCCTATTCATGCTTAAAATGAAGTTCAAAAAAGACAATTTACTTTACCATTATTGCTTAATGAACTAGTTTGATTAATTTTGGTGAAGCCTGCACTGTGCCAATGACACCTGGACTTGCCAGCTGTCATGAAACCGACACGCGATCTTGTCATTACTCAAAGTCAACTAAATCCACTGGCAAGTTTAACCGAAAAAATTATCCAGCTACAATTGAATCATTCTGTTTTTTTACAACTAGTTAATTCTTTATTAGCAGAATCAAAATAAGTTCAAAATATCCTGGAACAAAAATCTGAACTTTAAAACTTCGAAAAACATGCGAATTCGAAAGGCAGGTCCGTCGACGAAATTTTGATGCTCCAACAACTGGTCCTTATTTAAAATCAAAGATTCTCAGTCGATTTGTGCGTGTTTTTTACCGATATATGTGACCATTTGGATACGAGCATAATTTTGACAAGATAAAATAGTATAGTGCAGGATTTTTATTTAATAGTGATCCATCTGACTTGCATCTTCAGTACGACTTTTTAAATTTTTATAGCGATTATCTGCATGGGTCGCGGCGAAAGGTGGTAGTTTTGAGCCCAAATGTTTTCTCTTTTTTTTATATTCTAATTTCGTTATAAATTCACCACACTCAAAAATCACTATTCGTTTCGCAGATGGACATGAAAGGCGAACTTTTAACCGAATGATTTGCATTGTTAACAGATGAAAAGGGTAGTAGTCGAGGACACAATTAATTCACTCAACTTTTCAATCTCGCCTTTGTTGTGAAACGTGAAGTTGTGGGAGCAATCGGTCCTAATTCATTATGTATGCAAAATGGCTCTGCAAAACGTACCGTCAAGACGAGGTTCCATTTTTTATTCGTTTTAGCTCATCACTCCTATCATCAATTGCTTTACAAAGCAAAAGTTCTCTATTCCTCCGACCCTCTTTCAGGTGTTTGTTTGGCTCGGTAAGTGAAACATCATAAAAGGCGTTTTATTTCAAACTAAACAGGCTATTAAGCCATTGCAATAGGTAGTAAAATGGAATATGTGGCTAACCGGTAAGCAAAAAGAATTGCATGGAGCCTAGATATGCGTAATTTGAACAAAAATGTCACAATTCCATTACTTCAAGTTTTTTTAAAATTTATCACACACATATGTAAGGAAAACGCAACTCAAAGACATGCAGAATAAACTCGGAGGCGATAATTTACCTGCACGAATACATGATGAGAGCGACAATCTCAGCCTACAAACAAAAATGGCCATCTTTGTAGTGCCATTTCAGGATTGTTTTGGTCATCATTTCAAAACGCCAAGCCCTGACGTTGGTGTGGTGTTTCAGGGAGGCAACCAAATCAGTCACAAAGTACGGGGCTGTCCACTATCGACATCTGGTGGGCAGACATGTCGAAGTTGAGGAACTTGCTTCTCTTTCCATCCAGTCCTCGGAAATTTCGTCCGAAGTGATTCAATCACACGGTGCTCTTAGTGCTGACGAGAGGTTTTCCAAGTTCCAAGACATCGGTTTAATTTGCCTGCTAATCACTAGGTGTACGACGCGTGACGCGTATTGGCGAAGTAATTAGTCAGCTCACTAGTAATCGAGCATTTCGGTGGCACAACAGTAAATATTTGCTCTAGGCATTCCAAATAGTCACACAAGGGAGATACAGCACAGGCGTTGAGCAATGTAGATCCAGAGGCTATTTCTTGTTCTGCTTTGCATTTCAGGGTATTGCAACAGCTTTCTAAATCCGTTGATATACGCACTGTTCAACCGAGAGTTTCGTTTGCCCTTCATCTACATTCTTCGATTCCAATGCTACAGCATAAATACTCGGCTTCGAACTGAAACATTTTCACATCAGTTCGATCTGCCCAGAAAATCAGGACTAAGCTACCGTAACTCCCTCGCTCGTGGAAGCTCCAGCAGTTGTAATCGACGCCAGCAGCGACGCAAACTACGAGGTCTCAGTCCCTTGGCAAATGTCTCTCCACACGCAACAATAAACGCAGCTGGCCACACCAAGGCTCCTAGTTCGGAACACAACGTGTTCGTTTCACATCTGAGCTCGGAGCATGATGAAGTACTCCAAACCCCACACTCTCTCTTCGACCAGCCTAGCCGGTTCTCTATCCCAACGTCATTGTTCACTGCTTCGGAAGTTTTGGCCAATCCCAGTGGCAACGACCTCCTTGAAAACACACTCCGAATATGCCCTCTGCCTAACTGCAGTCAGGAGAGTGACGTGGGAATTCGAAGTGATAGGATATACGACACGCACATACCCTATCTGAATGTGCAGTTTCAGCGACGTCCGCGTAGCAGCCCCTCAAGTGCACCACCGAATTTGACTACCTTCGAAAACAGCCTGCACACGTGGACCGGAGTTAGTGACTACCAACCGAAGTCGCAAACGTGCGAGCGACGTCGAAGACAGTCAGATGCTGCAGTCTCCCCTCTTATGAGAAATAAGTTCCAAAAAAAACCACGGTTAATTGAATGGGAATGAGGATGGTCGGGAGAGCATTTCTACGATTTGGTCAGAGCCTCATGCCACCGCGTCTCTTTGTGATATGCCCCATCCTGCCTCACCTAATTCACCCAGGAAACAGATGGGCTGCTGATTTAGATATCAGGCATTTCCCCGTAGTACGTAAATGTGTGTGTGTGTGCTTGACTTCCTGCAGGTCCGCCAACCTCTACAAACCCTCTCCCAGCACTATACTGTACATACCTCGATTTGTTTTGCAAATACACAAAACCCATTGCCCTGTGTCCAGTTTTTTTTCTTTTGCACTAAAATTCCCTGTGCTGATTTCAATCTCGGGTCATGACGCGCAACTGCAGAGGCCAGACTTCCTATAGTTCTCCCATCATTCAGTCCTTCCACAAATTTGATATTGGCGGGTTGTGTTGGCAGTTTTCGTGAATGTCAAAAAACGTCTGTGCACTACAAGGCATTATAAACAGCAAAACACTCACTTCTGGCCGCCTTTACAAGACGGCTCCATCGGGTTTCATACATGCAGCTTCAGCAGCGACCCAAACCACAAGACCTCAGTCCCTTGACAAACGCTGCTTCGGACCCAATGGCAATCGCAACTGGCTACACCATGCCTAATAATTCGAAACACAATGATAGCTTCACGTTTGAGCTCAAATATAGTGCTGTCGGTAGGACAGAGATTTCGTCAGACTCGATTGGCAATGGAACGGTTATGTAAAATAGTTGTCACTTCCACATCATTCGATTAAGGTGCATGCGTACCAATCCCACTACCTACAGATGTGCCTCACCACATCAATCGAACTCGCAAGTATTTTTGTTAGACGAATCAGCAGGTTGATAACATCAATGATCCGAATTATTTCAACGCTTCTCAAGTATTCGCTGTCAACGAATTTAACACCAGATAAACCCACAAACATGCTCCTTCTTATTCGCACCACCGAACACTTTTTAAAACAGTCAAATATGCACTTGGGTTTAGTGTTGCTACATGCAGTATTAGAAAATTGCAATTGTAAGCACAAGGCCTTCAAAGTTATTGCAGCACACTGTTACAATCACACGCGCTCTGATGCCAAATTGCGTGCCAGGGAGCAGTCTCAGTAATCTAACCCATTCAACCCACTTGCTACAACTGAGAATGTGAAAATGCTAATGCAATTACTCATCGCGGTGCTGTGATGCCCACGTCCACAAACACGCCTTCATTAAAGCCCCTGGTTTCGTTGTCTCTCAAACCAGACTGACGTAGAAGCTATGCGGGTCACCGGAACACACAAAACGCCTTGCTGCTGTTCACGATTCCACCACTACCCTCAAGACATGGTGTCGCACTACTGACACGGGAGACGCCATGCACAATACTGTGTGTCGAATGTCAACACTGGCAAGAGCAACCATGATTTTGTGAAGCACTTGTCTTGGCAAGTGAACTGCAAGACGCAAAATGTTGCCCATCAATTGCAAACACCAGTATTTCCCCAATCATGGGTGGCAGGTGAGCTGATCAAATTCACGTCTCATGCTTCCCCGACCTCTCCTTTCATCCAATCGAATACTCCCCAACTCTTCCCTTGGATAATCAAGCCTCGGTAGACATGTCAGCGAACCAGGGCAATTCAACGCGTGATTGACGGCGCTGTGTTCTGCACAAAATTAGGTCACCGATCATTGCATTGGTGGCGCGAAAACCGCCTCCACCCGTTTTACCCGCTTTAGTTAATGTCATCATCGACGAAACCTGCCACGATCACGACCTTACCAAATAGTCTTCAATGAAAACAACACCACCAGTCTTTGCCTATAGTCGATATCGTACTTAGATTTTTTTTATGTGACGCATAATTAAAGCACATTCTAGTGGGACATAAAATTGGCTTGTTTAACCACCTTGTCTCTTTAGGCATGCCTACCCGAATTACACTGCACTCCAAGTAAAAGCGAAAAGCTGAGTTAGACTGTTATCAAATGCAATTTAGTGAAAGCTAATTTTTGATCAAGTAAGCAAGTGTATTTGCATAAATCTTCGCGACCCCTTTTGCCAAGAACATTGTCCTACCAATAAGCGCCTCTTTACTGAAATTCCAAACTTCTCTCGTGTCTTACGCTTCCAAGTTAATCGACATCATTACACAAATTTAAATGATTTTAACTTGAGAGCACTGTTGCTTTAAGATTAAAGAGAAACAAATGGACAGATCTAGTTGATTCTATTCAAAGCACAACCAAAGCAGTAAAGAATGTAAATAGGGTTTCGATCATTCTCCCTTCTAAAATAATTAAAATCGACGCTTTTATGCCAGTGAATATATGTAAAATGTCATAATAGTTAAGATCTCAACTAATTACAAATGTAATGATAGTAAATCGCATATTTGGCCAAATACGTACCGCATTATGAGTCCTCTAAGACGTCGAGCTCAGTTTTGTAAAAGGCATATGACTGAAGCTCACTTCAAAAAGATTTTTTAATGGGACAATGTTCGCAAGATTTATACAATTACATATGCCTAATTGATTAAAAAATTAGTATTTGCTAATTTGAATTTGATAATAGTTTGAATAACACAGCTTTTCTTTTTTACCTGCGTCCGACAGCAGTGGCAAAATATCAACATTTAAGTGGGCCTTTGAAGTGTTTGGTAGCAAGGAAGATACCTAGGAGATTAAAGATTCGGAGTGTTGAGTCGAGAAATTGGCAAGCTGTTGCACCATTTTGTTAGCGGTCAGTTGTCAAACAAAGGAAAGGGGTTACTAATAGAGCTTGGTGACCTTTTAAATGCTTCGAAGGTATTTCGTAGTCTCATGTGGCAATTCGAACAAAACTAATTTAATGGAATTTGTGCTCACAAGTGCACTCATTTTTGTGTATCGAATGCTGCAACAACAGTGATTAATTACACCAGAAAGTGTGGGAATTAATAAACCCAAAGTAGATAGCTATAGCCTTCAATTTGCTTTGATCAATGTCTCCATTCGGTAGTAATGCAAGAACCACGATTGTGTACGATGGGTTTTGTTGCATGCACCGTTAATCCAAACTCATTTAGATGTGAGAAACTGTGTCGAGTTCTTCTTAGTGTAAATATCTATCTATGCCTTAGAAGGAGACGTCGCCAATGTAAGCAAAGACGAGAACGCAACCATCTAGCATGTGAGGAATAAAAGCAACGCAACTTTTAACTGGATGACGTGAAGCAGAGAGCATTTGTACGAAGGCATGAAGGTCTAAAGTGAAGCATGGTAGGGGCCATCGCCAGGTTGCACAGTGGCGATTAGGGTCGCTGTTCATTTTCGCTGTAGAAGTCATTATGTGTGGAGTTGGTTAGAGGATCGAACTGATGCTGATGCCTCAGATTAACTAGAAGACTTAGTCGATTTAGTAATTAGGTGCATGTAGTGCGATGGATCGCTGTTGCATTTGCAAAAACACAAATGGAAGCGATGTCACAAACCTAGGTTGAGCACGCTAGATTTATAGGCCAAAGATCTGAAGAAATGCACTTTTGGCTTGCCGAGGAAACAGAAATTGGTTAGGAGGATGCTTGACCTTTAGTACATTAGAGATGAATAATTTGAAGGAAACACTTTTGCAAGAAAAGTCAGTGCTTTGCATGACCGTTGACAGTTGTCATCCCTCTTAGTGGATACTTTGGTTTCCTGATGATTCGCATGGACGTGCGTCAACATGATTGCAAGGGACCTTTCACTGGCAAGCCTAATTCTCAAATTTCTGATGATACATGTACATTTTGGGGGAGATGTATCGTGACACGACTGCAAATGTTTTCAATGTGTTGGATGATAGTGTGTGTCTAATGACAGGAAAGGCTATTCACCGAGACACTGACAGCCAATAGCCTTTGATCAAATCAGAGCCGCACCGGGTGGCTTTAATCGTGGTGGAGGTTCAATCGTCGATCCAGCCATCGGTAGACCATGGCGATGCAATCGTGTAAATCGGTTCCAGGGTGGGGTGTGAGGAGTCTGCCACCTGCTTGTGGATCGAATAATCGACCCTGGGAGCTGATACTGATTGACTTCTGCTTCTTCTATAAGGAAAACATCGCTATAGGCACTCAGTTAAGGTTTACAATTTGCCAATCTTTAGAAGGTCGCTTTTGGAGTGATGAATAGTGATTTTGACCTTGTAGACTTGTGGTTAAAAACTGAAAACCAACAATTAGCATGGATAGGAAAGAACTGGGTTCTTTCGTTTACACACTTCTTATGTGCTAAGTGGTGGTGTTGTTTTCATTGAAGACTATTTGGTAAGGTCGTGATCGTGGCAGGTTTCGTCGATGATGACATTAACTAAAGCGGGTAAAACGGGTGGAGGCGGTTTTCGCGCCACCAATGCAATGATCGGTGACCTAATTTTGTGCAGAACACAGCGCCGTCAATCACGCGTTGAATTGCCCTGGTGACTGTGCCCCCTCTCTAAAAGGCTCTTGATGCTTAGCTACAATTACTGAGACCTGGACTCCTAGCCGACAGCTAATTCCACCGTCGTTTCCCCCTTTTTACTCAATAGAGTGCAATTTCGGATGGGCTCGCTTAAGTTCTTGAACCAAACCCTGTTTTGAGCATTCACAGAAAAACAGACGGCTGGAAATACATCAGGCACGAATTCCAGCTTCTTGTTACATTATCACTGTGCGACATCAATCAACTCGAATCAGTGCAAATCACAGAGTGAAGCTTGAAATACCTTTCACCCCACCCCCTCACATTGCATTCACTGATCGTAAAGCAGCATCATTTTCTCAAACTCGTACTGCCATTACATGACCTTTGGCCAAGCTACGAGGATGCCCCAAACTGAGGCGCCCAAATACGGCACATCCGCTACATTAGTCACTGAAACCTGTAGTAACAGCAATGATGCTGATTTCAGTAACTTCCCTGATTTTGACATCAATAATGTCGTAACACGAAACTTCGAATCAACTCTTGTAGCCCGTTTGGGTGAGAGCTCAACTTCTGATCATGTAATTAATCACCCTACTTAAAAGTTTAAGTGGTGTGTTTATTAAGGTCCTTTGAAACAACTTCCACTGGTGGCAAAACACAAAATTTCAACGCCGCAAAAAACAAGTCAACACTATATATGTGTGAGTATCAACAAAATACAAAAACACTCGAAAGCGTCTTTTAGTATTATTATTATTATCATTCTACAGCAATGTCAACCTAGTTTGAATCAGCGTTTCCAAATCACGCATGTCATCAGGAGCACAGGCCCAGTCAGGCAAAGGGGCCGTGTAGCTCCAGTCCGCCGCGGCGTACCGGTATGCGTGCAGGTGGAGCACCAGGTTGGACATCTTCGGGTCCGCGAAGCGTCGGTTGCAGTCGGGGCACTCGGGGTCATAGGCTGCCTCCAGTCGGGCCTTTGTGTTTGCGTCGGTCATGTCGTCGGGGTAGTAGCGGAGGGCGGCTGGTGGTGCCGACAGGCGAGACACCTTGGCGGGCGGAGGCGACGACCCAGCCTCTTTCTCCTCATCCACCACTCGAGCCGAATCGTCCTTCTGTTCACCATCAAAACCGCCAGACTGCTGGGAGTCCTCACTCTGAACCTACAAATTGGGAACCCGAGTCAGTGTCGTTTAGCTTTCCAATGCACTGGTATAGTTTCTAAGGCAATTTTAAGACGTGATAACAATTTAACGATGCTTTGTTCAACATATTCCAGATGTTCACAGCATGATATAAATTCATTTTTTCTAGTGCAACTGCCGAAATTGATGTGAGACCAAATCATGAAAGCATGAACACTCAACTAGGGCTAGTACCGTCTTTTAATATATACTGAAAATAGGAAACTGTCAGGAGTAAGCGTGTAATAAAACACTGACAGGAGTTAAAAGCAGCGGCTCAAAGGATACAAAAACCAAAATCAAATAGAACAACCAGAGTAGCGGGATTTCGATATCCTTTAGCACGACAACGGTAGGACCAAATTATGGAGAGGAAGGTGAAAAAGAACGCGAAATAAAGCCACCAACTGCAACGGATTCTCCAATCCACAGTAAGAGGCCTGTCACAATCACTGAACATTCTTGGAACCTACATCTGTTTCCAAAAGGAGCATTATACGGCAATGTCGTCAGTACGAATATTTCGAATGAAAATTGAAGACTAGTAAAAGTGAAGCAACTAACCGCAGTCTTAAGGTAGGCGGTTCTGTCCCTGGATGCGGCCAATGCAGCAAGCAATTCGGACCTAGGTTCGCGATAGTTGGCGAAAGCTCCCTTGGTCTCGCCCCAATCGTAAGAATTGTAGAGGGGGTCATTAACAATTGGGAAGCCTACAAAAGTGAGAAGCAATAAGTAGGGATGCCGGATTTGACGAAAGGTGAAAATGACACTTACCGAGATACTGCAGATGAATGCGGACCTGGTGAGTTCGACCGGTGTAAAGGCGACAGAGCACCAGAGTCCTCCCGGAATCGCCTTCCGTTTGTGGCTTCTTGTACAGCAGGGGCACAAAGGACGTCTTTGACGGCTTCCCTCCCTCGCTTTCGGGCATGACGGCGTTGAGGCCCATTTTCGCGTTCAAACGCCCAAGCGGCTGGTCGACTATGACGGCGGCTGGTGACGCCTCGTTAATGTGCGTTTCATTGGGACCCTTAAACTGCCCTTCAACTTCAGCTAAGTAGAACTGAACAAATGGTGGAGCAGAAAGTACAGAAACTCATTGAGACAAAGAAACTACCTAAAATACTACATTCCAGAGCATAATTGGTCAATACAGCATAATGAGGTGATGTAAGCTAACTTGGGTACTTAGCGAAACAACATAGAAGCCGAAAATGGGAACAATGGACATAAATGGGGGTGGTTACCATCTAGCAAAAAATTTGTAACGTCAGCCGGTGTTTTAACTGAGCGAGTAGCAGATGCAGCTCTGAATTAACCCTAGCTTAATATATCTGCTTTATTGATAATTGTAGAAATGAACAAAGACCTGGCGTTACTTCGCACTAGTCACCCCGAGAGATGACTTAACTACATGGAGGTGTTGGGTTCATAGTTTGTTTTACTTCCCCTTGCTAGGCAGTGCTACGCTACTTCGGCAGTGGCCCGTGTTTAAATCCTCGTGTTTCCCCATTATTGCAGGATTGGGTGTGCGAGAAAAGACTAGCTTCGTTGGGGTTTTGTACAACAGGAAATATAGACGCAAATGTGGACCGTAATGGGCAGCGGCGGTAACTGAGCAGGGGGGCCAATCGCGAGCATTGACTACTGCGCCGGGCTCACTAGCTTACCAAGTGTGTATTGTTAATAACATACAAACCGTACGTTAAACGTCATGATCAATTTCCAGAAACCAATGTCAATCACGAAAAATAACGTCGGTCTAGTTCATAAAGCAAGTCCCTCTCCATAAAATACTTGAGATCGATCAAAATCCACTTGTGACAAGGTCTATGGTCCCCTGTGGGGCACAAACGGGGTTTAAAACAACGAATTGCTTCCATGAGTGTTAATCCCCATAGCACATTCTGTGATAGACCCAAAACGCCATGTTGTGATAATACCACCATCTATTCCCCAGCTACCTTTCGTATCTGTGTGCGCAATTGGCCTCATGGTCTTAATCCTCCCGCCACTTAACCCACCAAGCCAAAGTCTGGTGTCAACAAATGTAACTTACTTGACCTTAGTTATCATTTCGTTCCGCAAGAGGATGCCAAAACGTGGAATTCTAGCAACATATATTGTTTTACCTAGTTTATTGAATTTTAAATAAAAAATGGCACACCTCAAAGAGAGCGAAGGCAACTCAGAAGTTCCCAACCAGAAAAACCTTAAGGCTAAAATCGCCCGGTGGCAAATAGTTAGTGATTTCAGTTGCGTGAGAACAGCTAAAACCACAATCGACCAAAAAAATTTAACATAATAACAAAATCATGTAAATAGCAACAGTTGTTATGGACCAGAGAGGCTAACTCACTTTAGAAACTTCCCTATCACTTATTTGAGAGGAAATGTTCATTGCAGTATCGTAGTTTTTTCCAATTAGGACGAGTCCGGATGTCATTCTGCAATAGAGGACAGTTATGATTGTGCCCAAAGTTAAATAGCTTTTAGAAACTTCCCAATGTAAATTTACGCAAACCATAGTCCAAGGGATTTGTTGCCAAATCCGGTGCCATGAGGACGACTGAGCTTGGTAAACTAACTTGGTGTCAATCAAAAGATCTCAAATCCTGGCTCAAGTGATAAGTTGGAAGTCACCGACAACATGCAATTCGATATTCGATCTCAAAAAATACTGTTAACCAGAAAAAAAACATACCAATTTAGGCAGTCAAGACTGACCAATTACTCAATTAAGCCGCTCAGTATAAAGTTTTGAGCACCTAACCTGATAGTCTGCCAGCCTAAGCAGACGGAGCTACGAAACCAAAAAAAATGCAGTATACCGAGTCTAAATTTCAGGATTCCTACACCAATAACAGCTACAAACGGGTCCAGAGTCTGGGTACTTTAACTTAACAGGAACTAACGCTTATTCTTATAATGAATGCTGCAATCAAGAGTTCCAGCAATAATAGGCCCTAAATTAACTCATACCGAAAACAAACATCAATCGACAAAAGCAATAAACCGTTCAACACAGATAGAAACCTAGTCAACAAATGGGACTCAAGATAAAACTTGCCTATCCAACCTATGTATAACACGTAAGTTTTTGAAGGATTTCTCATTAAGAAGGACCTTAACTAGCGTATTGTGATGGTATTGCCCACAGGGATGAATGGGCATAGAAGATGGTTTATTAACGACAAGGATGTTCTCGTCCTCAAAAACTATATCGATGGGCTTGTCTGCAAGTTGAACGTCAGAGAAGACCGATTATTTACCAAGAATCGGCAGTTCGTGCCTGTGGAGTTTATGCTCAAGTAGATCGGAATCCTTCATCACGTAGTCAATGGGTACTTTTTCGCCATTAACTTTTATCTGGCCGCCAATCATTCTTTGCACCTTAAGGCGGAGGGATTTAAAAGAAACATTGACACTCACGACAAAATCAACTTCGTCGAAATTGAACTCATTATCCAAGATTGTAAGAAGACGGTGTCCAACCCACCGGCGCTTACAAAAGGCGGTAAATGTGTAGTAGTATGGAATAACCTGCAAGACACATATAGGTCAAGAACTATAACCTTTCTTAAGCCATTTTCACGGTAGTAACCAGTAAATGCTCCCCCATCAGAAGACGCGTTAATAATATCTCGACGGGTTAAATTAGACCTTTGAGGGCTCTTTTTTACACCCTGGTGATTCGCTTTTAGAGATGTTAGAGCAGACTCCAGTTTAACTACAAATTTCTTGAGCCACTGCCGATAATGTACCACACTTTCCAGCTTGAAGTTTAAGTTGAGCGGCTTCCGCAAAGCAAAATAAAACTAAAATCTTTTAAATAATAATTTTTGTACTTAAAACAATTTAAGTTGACTAAAAGAATCAGTATTTTAGGTCTATGTCTTTTTCCCAAAATAAGGTCACTTAATCAGAGTCGACCTTGAGAGGCCCAAAGCCCACGTGAATTAAAAACTTATTCTTAACAGCATTGGATATGTTTTCCATGTTGAACTTCTTTGAGTACACATAGTCACGAATCCGGAAATCGTCATTTTGAAGGAATTTATGGACACGAACGATTCTTCTTCCGTTTATGAAATATCACAATTTAACAGTAATTCCTCAGGCTCAATTCCATTGGCCGTGACTTTCAGTGCAATAACAGCGTTTACTGCTTTGGGGAATCTCTTGGTTATTTTTGCCGTCTTGTTAGTACATAAGCTTCGATGTCCAAGCAATTTTTTGATTGTTAGTCTGGCAGCAAGTGACTTGTTGGTCAGCATCATGGTAATGCCCTTCGGGACATATTTGGAATACAGACAATACTGGGGGCTTGGTGAGGTCGCTTGTGACATTTACATTGTCTTTGACGTTCTTCTATGCACAGCTTCTATTTTGAACCTTTGTGCTATCAGCATCGATAGGTACCTCTCAGTCACTCGTCCCTTTGATTATGTAAACAAAAGAACGCCAAAGCGAATGCTGGTAATGATTGTAATTGCTTGGGTTACATCTGCATTAATAAGCATTCCTCCGACTTTTGGATTCAAGGACAAGTTTGTCCCTGGTAAATGTGCATACAGCAAAAATTTCATATACCAGATATATGCATGCTTTGGCGCGTTTTATATACCCCTATTCGTCATGTTAACGCTGTATGGCCGCATTGTCGTTTTGGCACGACGTATTGTCAAGTCTGATCGCAGTCGATTGACATCGTCAGCTGGAGATGAAAGGCAAAATCCTACTCAAAACCATGTCCTACCACAGGAATCAGATGAGAATATTTGTACAAAAAACAGTGGTTCTTCCATATCATTGTACAAGAAAATTTCCTGTTTTTCCAAGAAACATAGAGGATCAGTTACCTCTATTGAAAAATCTCCTGGGAATAATCTCTATACGAGTGTCAGTCAGAGCCATTCTAACAATGTTGCACCTGTGGTCAATATAATTGATGCCCAGGACAAACCAGAACAAGGCTCACCAGCACTTCCAGAAGGACGTTATTCGTCCGCGCCCATTCATCATTTCAGCCGTTTGCCTCCTTTTCAAGCACGCCAACATAACGTGCCAATGGATGAACTAGACAATGGATCTGGGCATTTTTTATCAGCTGATAATTTCCCAGCTTCATCATCTCATCCCCCTCAAAGCCCTCTCACGAGGCAGCACCGTAGAAGTTTGCATCCTGGGGGCAGCAATGCTAGAATTCGTTTACCGTCTCCACGTGATCGAGCCTCCTCTGTCAGCATTGCCCATATACAGACAAATGATGCAAAATCAAGCCTCCCATTTTTCTCAAAGCAGCGCTTAAGTATAGCTCTTCATCTTAGACGATCAGCAGTCAGACGCTCGAATGAAACCAAGGCCATTCGAACACTTGGTGTAATCATGGGTGTTTTCTGCATTTGCTGGTTGCCCTTTTTCATTGTTGCAGTAAGTTGATTTACAAAATTAATGCTGCGATTCTGATGCATTTTTAAATTACTAATGAACAGACCAATTAATTGCTCCTTCTTTATTTTTTTGCTGTGTGTACAAAATCCCTATTAGCTTATTTATTGTGAAATGCATAATTCAACCTACTCGAATGTAACGAAAAACAGCGCTTTCACTGTATGAAAAGGCCTGATCCTATTTACCTGGTATTTGTGACTCACAAATATATTCATATAGTGATATGTGACTATGCCTTGTTTAGTTTTTAACTATAAGGGAAGCGACTTGCCTTCTATAAAATCTGGGAATTAGCCATTATTTTAATTTGCATTGGCGAATCTCTAAAAGATTTTCACTGGCTCCAAAAATTTTTTTGTATGCACTTACCAGTGCGTTCTAAGTCACAGAGTTTGCTCTGTTGTGTGCCTTTATGTTTGAATTGCAAAAATAGCACTCACTTCCTTATCTGTTAATCAATCGAGTTTGCAAATTATCACCGTCCATTTTATAAGTATTTCATTGTTACTTTTTTAGGTGTCAGTGTTTTTAGCAATTTCACTACTTAAAGCGAATGACGTTCTTCATGTCTGTAGTGGCTTTTACACAAAAAATACATTAGTTGCATAAATAGTGTCCCTCGTGAGTATTTACCGAAAATTGCCAGCTAAGAGTACCGTTTTGAAGTTTTCTACTACCGTAGCCGTAGGAGTGCCAAATGTTTTGTTTTTTTTTGGTTCGTTTACTTTTATGCGTTTATTATTTAATTAGAAAACATTAGTGTGCAGAAAATATTTTCATACACTAAAACGGGACATTCATACCCAAATCTTAACTGACGGAAGAATGTTCCTGATATTTCCATATTTTTAAAAACACCCGTAGCTATTCATAAGAGGAACCAATTTATTGACAGGCTGTTAAATTTGGAGTCATCAGCCTGCGCCTTATTTGCATCCGTGAATCCCCACAAGTTACATGAACTTGCTGATAGGAATACCTACCCACCTAAATTATGCACCCCCGAAGTTATAAAACAGTTTTTCATGTGTACCACACTTTGTAACTGGCCAATAGTAGCTACGAGATGTTAATCTATTCGTGGCAAAATATAATTAATTATCATGACAGTGGACAGCAAATCTTTCGTAAACTGGTATATTATGTCACGTAAACAATTAAACTCGACCAAAATGTTTTAGCTATTTCACAACACGTTATGGGGTGTAGCTTATGCATCTTTCAATGCGATGCCATGTTTTATTGCTTCGAAAATGCGTAAGGGCAGATGCATGTCACAAAATTAGGTAAAATTCCAATTTCTTTGCAACGAAATAATGAGGTGATTTTTTTATGTCTTAGAAGACAATTTTTTAAAAATTTAGCCATGATTATTTGTAAAGTCGCATTAATGTATGCTTATAACATATTGTTCCACTTGTACAGCCATGAGTGCCATAAATGTCTGTAGTCAGTGATACTACAGCAAGAAGAAAGGAATATCAACCGGTATACTAAGTCTGCATCGTCACATTAAAGTTAAACCCAACCACACTGTTCAAGTATGCATTGATATCAAATATGCTCAAAATTGCAACTCCAAAAAACGTTTATCGAGCAAACTATGACATTGGCTGTAATTGCATAATTTTCCTAAATGGTCTACCCTGACGCATCTGTTGCATTTAAGAATTTAGCCTGAATATAAGTACGTCAATGGGTGTTGCTCGGTAATCGACTGCTATTCCTACCAGGGCTTTTACTATCAACCGTTTTCTTATCTGTTTTAGCTGGGTCGACCGCTTTACAATCACATTCATAAAACCGAAAAAGACATCGACCCGCGACTGAGTTCCTTCTTTTTGTGGCTTGGTGAGTTGCATATTACATTGTTACTTCCTAAGTTTCTTTATGGCTATAGATGGGATTCGATGTAGGTTGCAGTTAAACGTGAACAATGGGCCTTAGTGGCAATCATTTGTGTCGCAAGCAATGTTAACTTTATTCTTGATTTAAGTGCATCGATGTTCGATGTCGAACTGGCGGGCCTTTTAATCGCGGATTCAAATGCTTTCAAAGTGCTCTGGAAACTAGACAAAATAACATTTTTACGCTCCTACGACTAATGAGAAAGCAATGCGTCGTCTTATTTTATGTTCTGGAGCATAAAAATTGAGTAAAGGCGAGTTGGAAATCTTTAGTGATGGCCACCAAAGACCTTGTGCTCTAAAATCTCTGACTTGACAACATACAGCGCTGTGGTAGATGTTTTTTTCGGCTTCCTTAAGTATAAATTTTCATAGATTATTGCCATCAATAAGAAGTGGACAATGTGGCACTAAGAACAGACACCGAACTCTCATTTAGTACGAATATCTTTTTCATTTGATCTATTGTAAATTGTAATGCATAGGCTCTTCCCATGTTGAGACTTGTGTAAATTATTAATTGAGTGAAGAATGTAAGAAATATGCTAAGCAGGCGTTTATGGGTACAACGCGGCTCAGAAATCTAGCATAAGTGATACGAAGCAGCTAATTTGTTACCTAAATTGTCTTCAAATATATTTTCTTTTCGTGGATAGTATGATACAACATAACTACATAGCAAAAGAACACGTAATTTAGACTACTAAATGTCTGAGGTATTTCTTGGTTAAGCATTTCTAAATCGTTTGTCGTCTCAATTTGTGTTTGCAAGCAATCGGTTAATATTCTGCGGGTGACAGATGAAAGTCACCTTAAGTCTATCCGAGTAGCAATGTGACAGTACCGAAAATGTCGCGGATACACGTAGTCGAGGCACATTAATCTATTGTCTAGCGGGAATCGACCGAAACAGGCCCGCTGTGTAAAACCCCAAGAAGCGAAGCAAACTTGTGACCTACGACTAGGGCTAAGTAACTTAAACATGTGGGTAACCGAGCCTTCCTACCTACTAAGTCAAATTTTATGGAGGAACTGGAGGTATTACAGTAGGGGGTGTCTGCAAGCGACTGTAATTAATAATTCATACTTTCTTTTAAATCTGGAGTTGCATTTCTTTCAAGGCAAGGGGGGTTCTTGTCACAAATCGTGGTCTCGTTAATTCTAAAATAATAGGTGTAGTTACATTTCCATCATGAATTTACTCATTTCGAAGCTCTTTTACGCTGTAACTTCAAAGTTTTTTTAGGAAATGTAGTTGCTTACTGTCATGTGAATTTGGTCAGAAATTTGTTGGCATTCCGAAGTAATGCTCTTCTGGAGCGTTCTTCACCTGGATTGACTTGAGATTTAAGATTGCTAATGGTAGAAGTACATACATTGTGTCAACGAGTCTGCGTCAGACTAATGTCTAGATCAATTATGACGTGTATTTTCTCACAATGCAAGGTGGATCTTAACGTATCAACACGTTTCCTTATTGAAGAGTTAAAATTAAAAATGAACTTTAGTTATACCAAATTTAGATAAGTAATTCATTAAGCAGTAGTAAAAAATACGATTTCCCCTTAGACCAAGCATGCATTTGCTCTCTGATTTGAGACCGTGCTTTGTATCATTCAGCCTTGCACAGTCACATTCCTTCATTAACGTGACACGAATTCATTCTACCTAGCTCTTTTTCAACGCGAACGTTTGTGACGGCAGTACGTGCAATATCACTGGTTTTGGCAGAACGCGTGTACGGAAAACTACGCAACCTTGGAAGTCCTTATTCCGTCGATTTCATTGGTGTCTAAGGCGTAATAGGGCACGGTTTTCAAGGATTCCATTATGGCTTTCCAAGTGGTTGCTACTGGTTTAACATGGTACAAGTCCAGTATTTATCTGCAGTAGAGTTACTATAATTTCTTTGCGATAATTCTAGTAGATTGCAAAGCATTTACTTCCACTAAATGCTACCAGAAAATCCCACAGACAAATAAATTATGTTAGTGTCCGAAATGTTTGATAAAATTAATGGAAATGGACTTTCATTGATTGACACTCCAGGTTTCTTAGGGAAATTGCCCGTTCCACTACCGATTTGCAGTGCGTTTGTGAGGATGGGCGTTAGCCTGATGTCTGATTGCATTATTTTACATATGCAGTGCCGCTGAAGCTGATTTGAATGAAATCGCATGGATATAGTTGCATTTATTACAGCAATTAAAGCCTATGGATTAAATTTGGATATCGTCCAAGTGACTTTTAAACGATAAATCAGCTCAACTATGGCTTCTGTTTTGTTTATAGCTCCAATCGGATGTCCTCGAAATTGTTCGAGTTTTATTTTGGTTTTTTCTAACCGTTCGGACTCACCGTAATTGCATTTTTACACTCAAAGAATTTTTCGTCGAGTGTGGCAAAAGAGATAAAACCTATAATTTCAGACTCGGCGTTTCGCGTCGGCATCTGCGCTCGTGAGGAGCTTTTGTTGTCGAAAGGCTTATATAACCACTTAAACTGTTGTCATCTTGTGGCAATCATTTTAAGAGCCACTTTGTTGCTGCGTCTTAAGGTGAATTGTGGAAAAACCTGGCTGCTAAACTGGTTCGCGTTTAAGTCATCAAAATCCCTATCATTGGGCTTTTACTGCTAGTCTTTTGGGATTGGAGTGCACAAATGGTGCCTCTTGTTTTGTTCTGATTTAAACTGGTGATGAATCCATGACCAATGAAGCAATAGTGACCTCTCAGAAATGTCAAACCGCATCCAGGAATGTTTCTGGCACAGTAAAACACAATTCCTTTTATTTAGGCCATGGCTCCACTCCTTTACTTTGTCTGTGTGCCAATTAATGGAGCATGTCAAGCGTCGGAAATACCCAAATCAACAGGACTCCCAACCTGAATAATTTGAGTCGATCTCAACTACTGCGTGGAAGTAAAACCCAACGATATTATTCACTAACGCCTTAGTAAACGCAGCGTTAAATCATTCGGACTCTGGTTTAAAGATCCCAATCCGTGGCGCACTGGCTAAATGATTGAGTAGAAAGAACTGGGAACGCTGACTTGCTTCCTTAAATTGCCTTTTTGCTTT